GATAGATAGATAGATAGATAGATAGATAGATAGATAGATAGATAGATTAGGGTTTAGGGTTATTGCTCCAAAATAATTTTTGAAAAGGCAAAGAAATATTTTCCTGTCCTTTTTTCTAAGTGTAGAACTAAAGGTTTAAAATGGGGAGACCAACCCATGTGCAGTTACACATTTAGAGTGACTGAAACACACACGTTCAGCCTTTCCGGGTAAGTCCGCTGCACACCTAACGAGCCGTCCTGTTTTAGAGTTCGACTAGCCACTCTCAAACCCAAATGAAGCCTCAGACCTGCGGCCACGTCGACGAGGGCGAACAGCCCCACCCGGGTGTCTCCGCTCACGGTCCACTTCTGCGTCTCACAGTTCGGCTGGCAGCAGTGGTTCATGAAGCGGGCCTCGTTCCCCTTAGGCCCAGCATCGATTATCCGGTCCTGACAAACACACAAACGCTGAAAATTACAATCCAGCAGGCTGCAATCTGTCTGAAACCCTTTTCAGTGCACCGTTTAGGCAAACTGAAGGACATCTTTTAGATCCTGAAATAAGCTTTTACTAAATATTTATTTATTTATCTAAATAGGGACAAAGCACATTAATGAACATCAGTATAAAACAAATGTAAATATGCTGGATTATAGCTACAAGATAGTTTTTATCCGCAGTCCCTAGGCAGGCAAATACATAAGAAAGAACATATAATATACAATATAAGCATCACAAGGAAATGTTTAGAGTTTAGTGGTCAAATATGGAAAAATGAAGCTTCTATCACAGCATGACATAAACAGACTGTATACAGAAGGCTGCTGACTCTAGACTGCCGACAGATGACCATCAGTTAAAGAAACTTGTATGACTGTTGGATTTTTAAGGGTACTTTTACACCTTTTAATTTATTCAAATAAACAGACAACCAGATCTGACTGGTCTAATTATATCCCGATCCTTTATGAACAAAATTCCCCTTCAACTCGAAAGATGTTCTCTGTAAGGAATAGTACCAGGAATGACAGTGATGGGTTTAAAATTACAGATGTTTTCAGAAATGCAGCTGTATGAATGAACTGAGTGGAAAAACAGGCCTGATGAAGTTTACGGTGGCAAAAAAAAAAGAAAAAGAAAAACCCTTTGGGATCGCTACTTAGAAGTCAAACCCTGCTGGTACCTTGTCCAGAGTCAACATGTAGAAGTTGCAGATGTCGTGGTCTTGTGCGTGCCTGATCCTGGACCTGCACTCTTCCTCATCGATCACCTCCCCGACGTACTCGCTGACAAACTGGCCCTGAAACGCACACGGAATTAACGCGGAGGTTTAAGCCTCCGTTGGTCGCCTCCGTCCGCGGAGCGCCGGCTGAAAAACCACCTTCTTGATGTCGTGGACACAGCGGAGCCCCCACCCTCGAGACAGGGTCCTGAAGATCTCCACCTGGCTGTACTGGCGCTTGGTGAAGGCCTGGTTGAGGCATCGCTCCCCCGCCGGGCAAACCTGGAAGTTCAGAGAGTCAGAGCGCGTCAAGCTAGCAGATCTGTCACAGGATCAGCTACGGACAGGGTTTAAAGTTCTGTAAGCAGCCCGGTGCAGCCTGGACAGCACGCCGGCCCTTGAAAAGGGGCGAGGAAACGTCAAGAAACCCAGAAGGGTTGGAAACCAGACAATGGAGCTGAAGAATCTCAGCTTAAAGAAGGAATTCTTACACTTTACTATTCAAGTCCGTGGACTTTAGCCAGAAGTCAGCACTCAGTTTGTGGTCTGCTGTTAGAATTTGGCTATAATTACTTTAGCATTGTATGCTATCACATGATCTATGTAAATTACTGATTGTTCTATTTTCTTTAATAACTATATTTTGTATTGAAGTCTCTGGCTGTGACCAAAGACTCTCTCCTCTCTCTTTTCCTTTCTCTCTTTTCCTTTCTCTGTTGCATTAGATCCCCGTTTTTAGATCAACACAAACACACATCATTTGTTACCACATTCCAATGCAATCTACATGAATTACGACCTGGCTTTTTATATATTTTTTTAATATTTTTGATCCACTCTGGTTTATTGTCAGGTTTCCAAGGGTTAACACTGCTTTTCACATGAAAAGACACGCAGCACCCTACAGTGTTTTTTAGTTTTTTAAATACAGCTCAATTAGCGGAGTATCGTTTAATTACCCACAACGCTGTGAATCTAATGGTTGGTTCTCGGTACCTGAGGGTGGCACTCGTACAGCAGCATGCGGTTGATGCATTCCGAGTCCATCCCACACGGACTCTCATCTGTGGCCTTGCAGTTGCAGCGAGGGATCTCCGACAGGTCAGCGGTGAAGATCTGAACCTTTCCTATTGGTCGATTCACCTGAAGAAAAACGCAAATGTGGAGGGCGCTATAAAACCCTGTTTTGAGACATAGTTTTAAAAAAGTGTACAAGAGCTGTATCACGATCTTCCTCAAACGTCCAGCTGGGCCTTATTTCATTATAAAAACATGAAATCGGCATTTTACACACTCAATGAAAATTCTAGAAAGTTTAAGTTTCTCTTCTTACTGAAATCTTTATCTGACATGAAGTAAAGATAAAAAATCTGGATACTGAGTCTAAATTTTGAGTCTAAATTTTTAGGGAATATTGCAAAGGGAATGTAATAAAAACATTACATGTTGGTTCATCTCAAAGGAATATTTACTATCGGCTAAAGGCGTCTTGTGCCCACGATTCCCAATGCAGCCAGATCTTTTGATCCCGTCTACCTTCTTTCTCTCTGCCTTGCTCAACAGACAAAGAATATGAGGCATCCGGGCTAAAAAATGTTTCTAACAAAATGGTGCCTCAGACCCTGAAGGCAACAGGGAGTGAGAGACTGTTCAAATTGTGCCTGGGATTTTTGAAAATAGGATTTTTTAAATGTTTTTTCATTTCACTGGACTGCAGCTATTACATAGAGGTGTCAGTATAAATTCAGCGAACAGGCCATTTAAAAAAAAAAAACTTTTTTTAAACACTTTTTGATGAAAGCTGAAAGGCGCTAAGGAAAAGCACGAGCTTCTGACCTTGATGTGTTTGTACGGCGGTGGCTTTCTGTCATTCTTCCTGTCCTCCTGAAGCTGCCGAAGTTCCTTCTCTGTCTGCAGCTCCCGAAATCGCACAGCCGCCTCCTCCAAAGCTGACAGGCGCCATCAACAGTCGCTCAGTATTCGCGTCAACTGACAGTGAGATTAACCGAAGCAGAAGGGTCTGTAAAAGAGGCCACTTTACCTTTCTTGTAGGTGGCATCGACACCTTTCCCCATCTTTTCCTTGCTGTTGGCGTCCACGTCCATGTAAGGGAACACCCTGGCTTGGTAGGTCCACAAGTAGTCGTTGGAGCCAAAGAAGTGAACGGGGAACTCTCCCACGTCGTGCCGCATCCGCTGGATGTTCTCTGGGATTGTTTTGGGATGGCTGACCTCTGCTGGCCACCACCTCAATGAAAGAAAACAAAAAGGAATGAGGATTAGTGTAACAGAGAGCTAAGTCATTCATCAGAACTTTTGATTTAATAGTTTAGAATACACGATGTGAAGTGGTGTGGTTGTTTAATGTAATAGAAAGAAAGGCTAAACGGTCTATTCCGGTAAGCACCGGCTAGCATGAGGTTTAACAGACATTCCTGGCCCGTCACTGACCTGTAGCGCCCCACCTTCACCCACAGGATGTCCTTGTAGCGGGGTTTCTTCCCGGCCTTGCAGTCGTTGCAGTACCAGCTGCCTTTGGGCATCTCGATGTTCAGACACTCGCGGTGGAAAGCGGCGGGACAGGACTCGCAGCAGAGCAGGCTTCCCCCTGCGCCCGGAGAGAGGCAACGTCTGCCTGTTAGCCATTCATATTTGTCATACACTTACATGTCAGGCACAGTTGGATTATTTTGGGGGCGGTCGAGACTGTTTGTTGGAGGCGCGTCCTCTTTGTGTCAGTGGGACTTAAGACTTAAGATTACAAAAGAAGATGCACACGTGTCTCGGTGCAAAGCAGAAAACAACTGTTTGGAGGGCCAATAAGTTGAAATGTGCCAAGAAACATAATGAAAGGGAAGTTCTGCAGTACTCAAACTGCCCAACTAGCACAAAAACTTCCAGAATTTTAATACAGAAGAAGATTTGAACCACCAGTAGACTTCCCAGATGTAGATGTCAAGCTCAAAATTGAAGTCTTTTTTAGTCAGGTCAAGATTAAAAACAATGGATAAGAGCCAGAGCTCCTATGTGGAGGTAAAAGAAACAGACAAGAGGAAAATTGTCAGAGGGAGACTTCACCAGCCAGACCTTTAGAGTGGGACCACCAGAATGAAAAGTTCCCAGCAGCCTAGAGGCACTTTGCCACAAGACGTCTGCACCAAAACAAGCTCAGTCCCCTAAATCTAGTGATTCAGTGGACGTAATATGTGACCACAACGCTCAGATGGGCAGACAGAGGGCAAACCAGGTACGGATTCCTGCTGTCAGACAGTGTTGGCAGGGTGGTCCTGAGGGGTTGCTTTTGGGATTTGGATTAAGGGGAAAATCAACACAGAAAAACATAGAAAAAAAGGAAAGAGCCAGGGAAGGCTTGTAATGAAAAATGGAAACATGCACTCCCTAATTTTCTGAACGTGTGTCTTGACTGATATTATATTATGTGATTTTGTGTTGGTTTGTCTTCCTGCCTCAGGACGACAGATGTTAATTAGCAAATATGCTATAATCTGGCTCATTTACAATCTCTACTGAAGTGTAAGACGGTTCATTAATGAGCACTGTCCTGATTAAATAAATAAATAAATAAATGTTTTGGGACGTGTGGCGACACCTTCGGTGCAGACGAAGCACCAGCTGACGTTGACGTGCTCGTGGTTCTTGACGCCCCGCCGGGGGGCGAAGTGGTTGGGGCAGACGATGCTGTTGTTGGAGAGCACCACGCAGCCCGCCGCCATGCACAGGTCGGTGGCGTGATAGGCCACCGGGCAGCGCACACACCGCACCAGACGACCTGCGGACACACACCGGAGAGCAGAGGGAGGGCGGGGAGGGGGGCGTGAGAGAGCTGGGGGGGGGGGGGCAGCAGCTCTGGCCTGGCTCCGGCCTTCCCCATTGGCTCACCCTTGGAGACGGAGGAGCTGCTGGGATTGGCGATGAAGCAGGTGAGGCAGACGTGGATGGAGCAGCGGAAGCCGCGGCCCACGGGCGCCGTGGGGCCGTAGCCGGCCACGCACTCGCCGTGGTAGAACTTCCCGCACACGGGGATCATGCAGCGCCTCACGTCCTCGCTGCGCTTTTTGCACACAAAGCACGTGTGGGTACCTGAACACAGCACAGGTCTCTGATCAAACCACAGAAACGAACTAAATAGAAATCAAATAAGCACTGATTTTACTCCCAATGCATTGAAGATATAAAACAAAACAATGAACCCAACTAACCCTCCCGGCTGTATTTCAGAATAAAACCAATTAGAAACGGTTTACTTATCTGGCTAGAAATATATTTAGCTTTAGATTGACCTTTTTTAACCTCCTGAGAGCCTGTTCCTGATATGAGGACGCTGCATTTCTGCCTCTTTACCATGACACTTCTTTGACCTTTGACCTCATAGCAGACACTAATGTTTGAAATCTAAAGTAAAAAGGTTTCATACTTTTTCAACCAATCATGTTCTTATTGTGTAATTAAAATGTTGTAAGTCATTTTGACCATCAGAGCCAAATTGCAGAGAAAACAATTAAATCTATAAACACATATTTTGAATACAAAGATAAACCCTTATAAGGAAAAACTACCTGTACCATGACTAAATCTAGTTATTAAACTTATTAGCTCCTACTGATCGCAGATAAGTTGAAAAAAGCAAAAATGCAAACCAAATAAAATCTCGGCTCTCAGTTGGTTAATGCAATTGAAACAAAAAATAATTAGCAAACTATAGCTTTAAATCCTGAAGAAGCCACTTAAAAAAGAATAGATGCAGCAGCTGTCCAAAGCACAGCAGATACATTCCGACAGGCTAAAGCAAGACGCTAATTTGAATATAAAATCCAGATAAATCGGGATACAGGAAACGGGATGACACGCACCTGATTTGCACTCCGGGCAGACGAACTTCCCTTTCGGGGCCTCGGCCAGAGAGATGCAGGGGAGGTGGAAGGCTCCGCAGCACTGACCCTCACAGAGCAGCAGCTCCCCCGTCTTCTCACACACCTTTTGTTGCCAGAGATGATGAGAACAGGTTAAAAAAGGGCCTTGTTTGATGGAGTTATACCTCTTCTGTGAATGGTAGGGGGCAGATGTAATATCTATGAAAAAAGCTTGAACTTTTTTTAATAGAAACTGCCCTTTTCTCCAACATTTTAAGATGAATACCCTAATAGATGAGATTGATGACCGTATTCCTTCCACTTTAAAGACGGAATAGGAGTGAACTGCTGTTATTAGAGTGTATTAATTAAAAAAAAAAAACATATTGTGGCATCATTCGTCTCGTCATCCCTCTATGTTACAACAGTGACTCCTCACTTGGCTTGAGCGTGATGGAAAAATATATTTTTTACCCTCAACCGATATGTTTGCCACTCCAAGGCCTGAAGAAAAATATGACAGCGAAGAATACTGTGCTACGCCTCGCTGTAGCCGCTGTTAAATCTCGCTTACACCGCAAATATCACTCCAGTTGTGGCTCTGTCTGCCAGTTTCCTGAGCATGCCTGGGAAATGGGTCAAGAATATGAACTGAAACACTTTGACGGACTGTTGAAGTCTCAAGTTCAAGAGCTAATAATTCATTGTTAGCTGTATTATGGAACTCTGAACTATCAAACTACATCAGAAGGAAGGACTAAAAGCGGTTCATTGGGAAATTTGAAGCCTTAAGGCTTCATCGAGCCACCATCAAGACAATATTTGCATGAACAGTGGAATCTTCTTTGTTGTGTGGTGTCATGGCAGCAGTATATTCGGTCCATGGGAATCCATCAGAGATCAACAGCAGAAAACTACTGATTTCGTCAGTTGTCTGAACAGTGCAGAACATGATAAACGGCTCTAGAGGTCCTCAGCAAAGCCACTTCACTTCTTCACACTGCTGCGACGCCAATTTGGAGTACCCACCTGACAAATACTCTCCTTCATGGAGGCCGGCCCTCCGCGGTCCCCTATGATCTTTCTCATGGGCAAGACTGCATCATCGCAAAGCAACAAGTCGTCCTTCACAGAAGAAAAGCTGTGGTCCAGACTGGACTGGTCACCCTTCGAATGCAAGCGGGCGAGGAAAAAAGGAGAAAACATCTGCGTTGTTTAGTGATAGATTTTGAAGGGAGCGAAAACAATTCCATGTAAGAAGTCAAAGGGGCTGACCTCAGACTCTGCCATTTCCTTTGGGTCCTCATGTTCACTGTGATCGTCGGGCTGAGGAACGTTGGCGTCCACTGGTCCAGGCTCCACTGGTCCAGGCTCCACTGGTCCAGGCTCCACCGTTCTAGGCTCCACTGGTCCAGGCTCCACCGGTCCAGGCTCCACTGGTCCAGTCCCCATCGGTCCAGGCTCAGGTGGGGCTGGCTCTGGAGTGGGGGGGGCAGGAGGGCTGTGGCTGACCTGGCTGGACGGTGCGCAGGTACCAGTGGCGGTCCCTGAGGTTGGTGAGGATGCTGCAGAAGGCTTGGCCTTTGGTTTAGGCGGGGGTGCAGAATCTGAGTGTAAAACTGAAAGGTAATGGTTAGAGTGGAGCTAGTTATTTTAACATAGAATTATATAGTTATTATGATTATAGCTATTATTATAGACACAAACTACATTGTTATTATGGTGTAATTTCCAAGTGGGGGTCTAATTTTCCATTGTTTTAAATCCAGACATCCACCAACCATTCCTTTGCAAAACTAGTTTTATTGGATATAAAATCTGTGGTTTTCTTCCTAGCTCCAGGCCTGTTTCTATGTAGAGAATTATTTACATTTCTCTACGTGTAACACATTGTGTTATTTTGTTATGAGTGTTTTTTCCCCTTAAACTCCCATAAGCATTGCAAAAAAAGAGTGAACAAGTGGACGATTTGGACAAAGTTTTGTCATCTTTTGAGATGACAAAAGAAAATGTGCTTAATGTATGGTCATATACAAATATTTAAAGAAAAAGTCTGATATTGTGAAAGCTTTTGCTTTGTTTTTTAGTATGTACACAGTGAAAGAAGTAATAAAGGATCGACTAAGAAATGCATGGTGTCATGACATGAGTTGACTCACTGACCAGACTGAGGAGCAGGATTTGAATTGGTCCTCTGTCCTTTGATCTGTAACAGAAAGAAATATTATCAGAAATCATTTATCTTTAACCAGGAGAGACTTTCTACTTTGTTACATTGGGTCTCCTGTTGCTGGATGAAAATGTCCTGCATTTAGACTTTTTGACTATTTCCTTCTTAATTTTCTTGAACTAGACAACTAAGAGCCTAATTAAACCAAACGTATATGACAATAAATGGAGTACTTGTTTAACACTCTTATATTCAGCTTTACATTTACGTTCAGAAATTTAGCCGACATGCAACGGCTAAAGTTTCCCAAAGTGACTGAAAAGAAAAGATTATGAGCAATCGATATATATTCTGGAGAGCAGGCTTTGTCTGTATGGGGCCAAATTCAAACAATGTCATCTCCAGGCAGACAGCATCTAATGTGAATATTCTTAATGAAATCTTCACAGAGATCCTGTATATAAATCCAAATGCCAACTTTAAGAGACTCTTAGAAACACAAATAGAATAGTCAGCGCAGTCACTCTGCATGCACAAGGATTAACCATAATTTCTAACCTGTTTTACACGAAAATAAAAACACCAACATAGGTTTACTGTGTCGACTTCTAAGATATCTATGGTTTCATATGGCATTACTTCAGTTTAGGGCAGACTGTACCTGAAGGCACTGGATTTTTAGTGCATTATCAGAGGTTAGGGTTGACAATTAAGGAAAGTTGTGGCAGAGAGTGATTAGTAAGATTTAGATATTTGCAATCTGAATTACTAGGTTATTACATAGTAATACGTTACATAAGAAGTTTATCTACCTTCTTTTTGGGCACAGTTGATGCCTCGGCCTCCAAACAGTACTCCAGGATTTTCTGAGTAGGTTTCCTCTTCCGCTTTTTCTCCAACACAGGCCCAGCTCCTGTGAGTCAGCCATTACAACCATATCATCATCCAACACGAAAAGAATCATTTTGCCACATTTGCATTTTTCCTACTTCAAACCTTCTTGAAGTTAGCGGGACTCTAATTTCAAAGGACAGACAGGCCAACGCTGCCTCACCATTGTCTTTGAAAAGGCTTTCTGACAGCAGCGGCTCGGCTTCGGGAGGAGGGGTCAGCGTGTCTATGGACAGCACGGGAGTGTCTCGGGGAGATGTGTTTGCAATGTTGGGAATTTGGAGTTCAGGTGGTGGAAGTCCAGCAGTTTCCTCAGGAGGTGGGGTCTGCATTTCGGGAAGCAAGGTCGAGGATGGGGGGTCGTGAGCGTGGCTCTCCAACTCCAAAAACTCAGACGTGGAGGTAATGGGTTGACTTGCCTGAGAAAAGAAATCGATACAAGTGTCATGGGTGGTCACATGTACAGTTACATTAGCTGTTTTTTTATTTTTTTTATTATATCTTTATTGATTCTCGAGAAAGTATCATTTACATGACAATAGGCATCACCAAACTAACTTCAACATTTGAAATAAGATTAACATATATACCATTGCCTTATAACAGTCAAATCAAAAATACATTAGCTGTTTAATTACTCAAAATCATAACATGCACGAATGGTAAAGTTACAGAAACGCTTACATTGTGCGGTTTCTCAATCAGCTGGAGAGACTTCTTGGCTTTCTTCCTCGTGGGGAAAATCTGCTCATACTCTTGGGTCCACTCGATCAGCCTCTTGCTGGGCCTTCTTATTCGTTTATGTGCTGTGGAAAAAAAAAAAAGACCAATTTGTTTAACCATTTTTCTACTGTGTGTCACATCGCATACAGGGAAACTTAATTTTTACAAACTATACGGATGATTCAATGGCTAAACATATGGGTTTTTTAAATCCAATTACAGCAACTTACAAACAGCTTTGCTCTCTTAATAGATACTTTTGTTAACAAATGCTTTCAGCTCATGTTCAAACCTATAAATCCTGTGTTGCCACCTGGTCTTTGCCCGGTTCTGTCCTTTCAGGGTGAACATTGCTTTATAAGCGTTGTGGTAAGAATATCCACAAACCAAAAGTTTGATCTAGCAATAGCACGTACTACACATTTACCCTCGTATCCATAAATTTCAGGGCTGATTTCGAATCAGGACTCTTTCGACCTAATCTCGTTTTGTGATGTTGATACATCAATAGAATAAAATGAGACAAAAAAAATCCTATTTGCAGGTTTTCTTAAATTTGGTGTACAGATTGGTAGACTGTTCTTACTTGCTGGAACCCTGTCTTCTGCAGTGCTGTACGTAAAGCCCGGGGTCTTCTCGGTGCAGTCTGCATCAAAACCCTTTGCCCGTTCTACGATTAGCGTGGTGTCACTCTCCTTCCGCTCCAAAGGCACCAGGATCTGGAGACTCTCCTTCACTCTGTTGCTCTGTAAATCTGCCCCAAAGCCTCCTTCGATGCCCCCGGCCTGCCCCTTCGGGCTGCTATGTGTGTCCAGGAATCCTGATGAACAGTCCACTCTGGATGGGGAATCTCCTGCCGGCAAGGATTCCGGTCTTGAGGAGGCCGCCAAACCTGGGAAACCAGGTCCAGGCCTGGCGGGACGACAAGGCACTCTGGAGCTGCTTTTCTTTTTCGACCCCCCAGAGCTGCTCTTTCTATTGTAAGCCCTTTGGGGCGTCTTGCTCGAGCTGCTACAGATCTTTTTCACCATACTTTTGTCTGGACTTGAATGTGAACCGCTGATTTCATGTTGAACCGGTTGAGTTTCCCCTGGCATCAGGGACGGCTCCGGTTTGACATGTGCGCTGGGGGGCCCGATCTCCAGCTCCAGGGGCGCCCCGTCCCGCTCTCTTGTGTCATGCAAGTCCTTCAACATCATCAGAAAAGTGCTGAACCTGTAGTTTGTGTCTGGCTTGAAAGACACCGGTTTACCATCCCTATCATTAGTCAGGGACTGAAAAGATACCTCTTCCACATTTTTGAAGGCATTCATAAAGGAAAAGGGTGACGGAGGGGATGATGAGGAATTCATGGCAGACGACGGCTCCTCGTGCTTGGTCTTCACCTTGGATGTGAGGGGTATGAAGTCCATCGGTGGAGTCGAGGATATCGACAAGTTCTCATCTTCGCTCTTGACATCAGCTTCAAAGTCATTTGAATCGGAGAAGATCAAAGACGGCGAGCTACAATTCGAAAAGGCGTCCGGGTCGCGCGCGCTTTTGCCGGCGGGAGGAGATTTCAGAGACTTTATCTTTGTGCAAAAGTCCAGTTTGGCCTTGGAGCTCCACACGAGGTCCTCCACGCTCCTGAAAGGTTTCAGGAGCTGCTTGCGCTCAGCCTCCTTTTGGGCCCTTTCCCGCCTCCTTCGGTCCACTTGGCGCATGGCCCTCAGTGCTCTGGTCATCAGCCGGTTGCTCGCCGGGAGGTGGGCGGGCTGCTCACGCGCGGCGTGAAGAGCTCTGTCCGGTTTGACAGAGGAGACGCGTTCGGGTTTCCCAGAGCTTCTGCTTCCCGGGTCCTTCAGAGCGGTCAGAACGGGGTCGGAACTGCTTAGCTGCTCAGAGAACACGCTTGTCGAATCCGACCGGTTGCTGCTGTCCGACCGTTCGGCTTGTTGGGGGGATAAAGGAGCCACCTTGCCTCCACTAAGGTTTGGAACTGGCATCTGTTCTGGTTCTGTGGTACCTAACCGGTCAGCGGTTAACCCTCCACACGGTAACTCGGACGAGAGGCGGATCATACCAGAACCCCCGGAAGCCTTCAACTTCTTGACCGAGAGCTTTACGGCTTCCGAACTCCCTGTGTGATCTATCGAGCCACTGCCCCTGCCGTCTGTCCGGTCTGGCCGAGAGACCGTTGTTCTGTTGCCATCAGATTTTTTCTCTTTCTTTGCACACCTGATGACTTCAGTGTGGCAAGCTTTGGGGTTCAAACACTTCTTATCCTTTATCTCTTTACGTATCAGTTTCACAAAGGGCAGCTTACACTCGGAGACCAAACAGGTTTGCTTCTCTAGCCTCGATAATGAATCAGGAGTTACGGCTTTTAAAGGGGAAGCTGAAGTCTTATTGCTTTCTCTTCCTCGGTCAGAAATCTTACCGGCTGCATTAACCTGTTCAGTGGCAGTAGCGACCGAATGCTCCATCAGACTGATGCTCTTACTACTCTTTGAAAAACTGCAGTTGTCTTTCTTTGGGCTCTCTAAATCCCTTTTTACATTTGGACTCCCCGATTGCCCAGGCGAATGATCAGTAACAGTGTCGGCTGAATTACCGGCTGGCTTCCCGCTTTTCGAACATACATTCTCCACTGATACCAGGGACTTGGGTTTGTCCAATGGTCCCGATTGGTCGACAATACTTCTGTTTGCACCGTGAAGCTTAGTCCCGGTCTCTGAGTTTTTACACTTCAAAGGCCCTGCCTGTTCGGGTGGAAATTTGGTATCAGGTTTGTCTGGCAGCGTCGCCTGGTCAGCTGATCCCCCACTACAGGAGGAGACGCAAGCACCCTGTATCTTTTTACAAATGGCGTTGGAGTTCTTTTTCTTACTGGGAACCTTACTAAAGAGGGAGCGGTCGGGCATCTGGCTTATCTTTTTAGGTCGCCTGTCTTTGCCTGATTTACTGAACCAAAGCCCGCTCTGCATCTCAGGCTGCTTCTTCTGCTCTTTTATGACGGCGACCGACGGCTGGGACGAGACTAGCTTAGACTGACGTTCAAGTGCTTTAGGACACAAAATTTTAGGGACCGAGTCAAGGTCAGAGTATGGACAATCTCCACCGCCCCTGTCCGATTGGTCTGGACTGCCGCGGGGAGTCTTTTTAAAGTGTCTACTGGTTTCCTTTGAGGATTTTGTCTTTTTTTTCTTGTTGGAAGGTTTTGTTAAAGTGCTCGGTTTCGTCTCAGTCGTAGCTATAGACGAAATGTCTCCATTAGTTATGTGCGACGTCTTCGACAAAATGGAGGCCGGTGGGGTGGAAAGGGGAAAGGCTGCAAGGGACTTGTCTTCCTCGATTGGAGGAGAGCTGCAGTGCAAGTCATCTTCTGCTGATGAAGACATGGATGGAGTCATTTTGTGTCTCTGGGCCAGAACAGATTCAGCCAGGCCAACACTGGAGCTCCAGGAGTCTTGAAAACGCTTAGCCATCTGTAGGAAAACATGGCGTACACTACTCAGTCTTAGCACACATTTAGACTTAGAGAAACAAACTCACTCTTGAATTTCATCCTTTTGTTTTCAACATTCGCCATCAAAAACAACACCACAATAATGCACGGAACAACATTTTCATCCCCTTTTAATCGGTCAAAAACTAGCACTTACTGTGTATTTATTGTTCTGTTCCCGTTGCTTGCCTTTTCGTCGCAAAAGAAGGAGCTGTTCGAATTCAAAGCCTCCTTGGAAAGCGTGGGTAGATTTGTCCTCCACCCAGACCATCTCCTCAGGCTCCCCAAAGGTCCTGACATAATAGAGCCGGCAGGGGCGGTCACTGCGCTCTAAAACAGTAACAAACGTCCCAAGATGTACATCAGGCATGCTATCTGGATCAAACACACAAACAGCCTCCAAAATGTCCTAAATCTACCCAAACAAAATCGACCAGGTCAGCACGTCGCTGCAATTCTTCTGCTGTAGTACACACAGTAAATGCATGACTATTCATACAAGATTAGGTTTACAAATGAAATGAATAAAAATTAATAGGGGGGGTGTCACTGTACCCGGATCAACTGCACAGAAAACGAGTGATTTTTAAACTGACCTGGAATGCAGAGAATATTTTTTTAAAAGCAAGACACACAATGTTCTTATCTGGTTTTACAGAACAAAAAAACAAAAAAACATAGCTTTCCAAACATCTTGAAAATAAACAAATGTAACTTTTTTGTTACAAATTTTCCCCGCGAACCCATTCGAGAATAAGCAGTTAAAAAAATGGATGGATGGAAACAACTTTTAAACAATACTTCTTAGGATAACTTTTAAGTACACATTTAAAATGGACACTTCTGGCTAAAAGTAGTTGGACATGAGTGCATCGAAACCCTGCCAGGAGCGGACTAGCTCTAAACTTTTTGTTATGGTAAAATGGGCAAAGAAGATTAGAAAATATCTCCCTTATGTGAATTGCAGCTCAAAGTTTTTCTGCAGAGCAATTTGTAATAGGTACCCTTTCTTTTTTTCTTTGTTGTATTTGGGTTTTAAATCAAATCTTTCATCTGTTCTAAAAGAAAAGAACATTATCTGGCCTGAGATTATGTTTTTTCATAATCAACTAACACCCTTCATGACTTTTAAATTATATCACAGTAATATCAAGTACAGAGTAGTAACTTGTTCAGGCACCTGAAACTTAACTTCTTCTGAAAACATAGAAACCTAAACATAACAGCATAAAAAAGCATAAACTGTGGGTTGTGTTCTGTTAAAATTGGTTAGCTTTAATCACAGTCAATAAACGCGTTTCATGGGAGGATTAATGCTGGACTTTACAGCACAAACAAAAATCTAGGTCAATCTGATCTTTTTTTTGTTTTTTTAAATCAACACATTAAATGGAAAATCGCAACAAAACAAAAAAATCTGAAATTTGTTTGGGACTGAACTGTCAGTTCATATATAAAGTTCAGGTTGGATGAGGATAACAGTCTGTAGAACTTAATTCTGATGCTCCACATAAAGGTAAACAAAGGCTAACATTCAGTACTGATGTCAGTTGGGGTGAAAATAGCTGATTTAGTGCTTCAAACAGTACAGCATGAGTGACACTCCCTCTGTGATTGGTGCTCAGGGTTAGTTTAGATCAGGTCCGGTTAAGTCCCACACCTGAACCAGTCCTATAAAGTATCGAACGGTTTGCAAATCGCACACCAAGAACACAAATTTCCTGTGGCATACTCACAATTTGACAAGCTCCACATGAAAGATCAATATTGTCCAAAGAAAATTAGCATGCGACTGGTTCTTAACTCATCAGTCTGTCAAGACGTGGAGTTAGATTTTGGTACAACAAAAAATGTTGATGCTGAAATGTCATACTGTATTTGGTGTAACAAATATCTGCAGCACTGTGATCACCCTTCTCCAAAATCTACATTTGTGAAAGTGGAATCAAAAGTACAAAAGGGAAACTGATATAGCGCATATGTAAGATAAATGGTTAACCACCCAATAACTTACCCTAATCCATTACTAACCCCAACCCACTACTAACCCTAACCCTAACCCATTACTAACCATAACCTTAACCCACTACTAACCCTAAGCCGCTATGATGAGATAAGACCATTAATTTCTTAAAAAACTACAAATGTGAAACTGATATAGCGCAGATGTAAGATAAATGGATAACCTCCCAAAAACTTACCCTAACCCATTACTGACCCTAACCTTAACCCAGCAATAACCCTAACCCATTACTAACCCTAACCCGCTATGAAGAGTACCTCAATTTCTTAAAAAACTACGAATGGGAAACTGATATAGCGCAGATGTAAGATAAATGGATAACCTCCCAAAAACGTACCCTAACCCTAACCCATTACTAACCATAACACGCTATGAAGAAATCATCAATTTCTTAAAAAACAACAAATGTGAAACTGATATAGCGCAGATGTAAGATGAATGGTTAACCTCCCAAAAACTTACCCTAACCCATTACTAACCCTAACCTTAACCGGGTACTAAACCTAACCCTAACCCATTACTAACCCTAACGCATTACGAAACCTAACCCATTATGATGAGATGAGATCATGAATTTCCTAACCTGCCAAAATAATTGACAACATTCAGAAACAGTGTGTTAGTCTTGGTTATTGCCGCCAGTAGACAATGGCTGACTGACCTTTCACCCTGTGACAGACTCCCAGCAGAGGGTCAACGGTCACCACGCAGGGCCACCACGGCCTTCGGCTGAACTTGGCCCAAACAATGTCCCCCTGAGCAAACCTCACCGGTGGCAAAGGCTTCTTCTTCAGGTGGTTCTGCTGCTGTGGGACAATGCAAAGCAGAGAAAAAGTTCAAAACCTAAACAAAACCAAAAAACAAATATATTCGTTGTTGACCTTTGGTTACAGTCCAGTTATTCTACAAACATCAAACTGACATGTTTCCTGACTAGCGGTCTGTAAGCGCAGTTCTTGATAGGTAACATATTCGATTAGCAAAATATCTCAAACTGAACGGGCGGCTGCTATGACCGTTGCCAGGCGACTAACTGGGCTCCTGAACTGACATGTGTGGCCCCCTTACGGTGCACATGCAGGTTCCTCCACGAGTTCACCCATCTAAATAAGGTGTCGACGACTGGGGGGTCAAGGAGTGAGCGGCAGCGACATGCTAAAAAGTCCACCTCAAAGGATGTTCTCACTTCTATTGTCGTTTTCCTTCGGTCTAGCTTTGAGGTGAGGTCAATTGGGTGGTGGGTTTCATTCCCATCATGCTAGTCTGTATGCAAAAAGGCAACGGAACAGTGTGCACGAGGGCCACCAAGTGGAATTTTAAAGGGTTGAACGCCTTCCTGTGACTCTTTAATGTCTCTCGAACGACTCTCAAGCAGGATTCGCCCCTAATTCGTACAACACCACTGACATAAGTGTGGATGCTACAGGGAATTCAACATGTGTGTGTGTGTGTTTTTCCCCTTAAATGCCTACACGTTTGTTTCCGCCCAACACATGCTGTCCTTATTCAGCTGTTTCTTTTCCGGCTATGACGTCATGTAGGTAAGGTGATTAGGGTCTTACGGAGGACGTTAAGATTCAGAATCAGAGTCGGAAATACTTTAATAATCCCAGAGGGAAATTGATTGAGCTGGTAACTGCATTTTGCTTACTTTAATGCAGATCAAAGCCACATTTGTGAGGTTTTCTCTTTCTTTTCTATGCAGATTTATTTGCAGGTGAGGGAAAGTTGTGCCCTTAGACCATAGTTTTACTTATCAAGATAAGTTAAGATCTTTTCTCTATCAGCACGCATTCGCTTTCAGCTCCCGCAGAAAGTGTCACATTTCTAACGACGGCCTCCGAAGGAGGTGTTTTTATCTTTTTTTTTATTTTAGCTCACTGCAAACCAGGGTGACTAATGGCGGTGTGAGTTATGGAGTCGTGTTTCTTTTTGTGTCAACCGAACACCGCCGTGACGAGTCTCGCGTTGTCATTTGGGGTATTCGGTTCCCCGAGTGTTCCGGCCCGTAGCCGTGAGTCATGTGGCTCACGCGTGTACCGGGTCTTAATGCTCAAGACTCGGCCCGTATCTAAAACTGTCGGGAAAAAAAGGGGGTCAAGAGGTTCAAACTTGCCAATGAGTGCGTTAAGAGGCTTTCCTCCAACAGCAAAAGCTCAGAGTCACTCTCCCACTCGTCCTCCGAGCCGTCCCAGTATCTCCTGCGTTGCCCTGACGACTGGGAGCGTGTGACCACCTTGGCGGAGGGCGCCGCCGCGTCCCTGGAGTCCGACTGGGCATTTCCAGCGGGGGGCTGAGTCAGACTCCCCGCGCCGGCGGGCTTGTCCTGCATCTTTTCGACCGTGGACGCGGCCCCACCCCCTTCCTCCTCCTCCTCGTCTTCGTCTTCAAACAAAGAGGACTCGAAATGGAGCAGGCCGTTGGCGAAGGGGCTGCTGCTGTCCAGGGAGAAGGCCGGGCTGGGGGGCCCCGAGAAACAGCCCGGGGCCTTTTTCTCCGAGCCGACGGAGTCGTTTGGGCTGTCCGGCGGGGGGTCGCCGCCTCCGCCCGGGGCCTCCGGCCGCCTCCGCCCGGGAGGAGCCTGAACCGGCCTCAACCCCCCGCCCGCGGCGTGGGGGGCCGAGTAATCCCTGCCGTGGTCCCAGGGGTCCGCCTTCAGCGTGGCCCTCTCCGTGTCGCGCGCGCCCCAGTCCCAGCCGGCCTCCGGCCCCTGGGCGGTCAGCACTGGGCCGGTCAGCGCCGGGCCGGGCAGCACCGGGCCCGGCTGGCTCACCATGGTGGTGAGGTGCTGCAGCCTCTTGAGGGGAATGTAGGAGGAGGAGGACGGCGGGGGGGAGCGCTCCCTGTGCGCGAAGCCATAAGCCGGGGCGTGCTTGAGGGAGGAGGCGGCCGCAGACATGGTCAGGCCCAGCCGGCGGTCATGGCGTCCGGCGGGGCCGGAGGGAGGCAGTAGGTCGCGGACAGGGGTCAAAGGGCAGCCGGACAGATCGCTCTTCCTTCCAGGGCCTGAGTAAGGCCCACTCATAGTGGCATGACTCCTCCCTGAAACACAACCAGAGAATAGGTTTAGCTTACTGACAGCGTCTCAAAACATTAAGAATCCAAGTCCTGGCATGTAGGTCACATTTCTCCCAAAAGACACGGTAAAACGCTCATGAAGTGGCGGCTAAAATTCTGTAGGGGAAAACGAACGAAACGACGAGAGTTCATTCAATGAGATGTCCCGATATTCCGTGAGCCGAACTACGGCAAGCGGCCGGAGAACGAAAACCTTTTTGTCCTAAGTGACAGGAACAACAAACCTGCCTCGTGCGTTGTCAAACAGAAACGTAAACATACGTCGCGCGGTCAGTCGCTAACGTGACATTTTTTGGCCTCCTAAAAAACAAAAAACAAAAAATAAATAAACACCGCAGCCCGAGCGAGGGATCCTCTCGGACACGCTATCGCGATATGATGGGAATGACATCAAAACGCGATAAGGTCAGCGCGTGCGGCCGCTGGCGTCAGCGCCGTGCACGCAAACCCGCGGAGCCCGTCGCACAATTATAGCGCGTCACGTGGAAATAAAAGCCCACGCGCGAACACGCCGCCGCCGGAGCCGCGAGCGCAGCGTCAAAATGGACCCTGCCGCGCGCGTGCGCGACACGGGTGTGTGGATGAGTGCGAAGGGCCGTGTGTGCGGGTGGGTGGGTGTGTGTGTGTGTGTGTCTGAGGGGAGGGGGGTGGGGGGGGGGGGTGCGTGCGCGCGCGCGCGTGTATGTGTGCGGGGGTCCGTGCGTGGCATGCGGTGGCTACATGATGGCTGAGGACGGAGACACACACACAAACACACACACGGCATGAAAAGGCGACGACCCACAACAAGTTCATGTACACACACTGACAGACACACACACACACACACACAGGCTCCCGTCCACAGGCTTTCCCACCCGACGGATGCAGGCTATGTGCACCAAACAGCAAAATCACGGAGAAAACGCCACAAGTCGCGGGATCTGTCGCGAGAATCTTACCATTCCAGTGTGGCCCAGCGCAAAAATGACCCCCAACCTGCTCATTTTGGCGTTTAAAAGCACCAATTTCCAATTTTTTGAGAGCGGATGAGGAGAGTCCCAGCGGTAACACTACTAGGCCTGGATCCTCCCCCCCCCCCCCCACCACCCCCACCTACCCCCCCCCCCCCCCTTCCACCACTTCCCTCCTCCTCTCTACATGCGCTAAAGCCTGGTCCAGCGGCCCCCAGGATAAAAAAAAAGCAAAAAGCAACCGTGTCGTGCTCCTCCAGCGACACTCCCCCTTTTTTTTGCTTTATGATAACTGCAACTTTGGGACTCCCCGTCTGTGGACGCGTGCACGCTCTGCCGGCTATTTCCTGCCCGCAGACTCCAGCCTGCCCCTGGAAAGTCAGCCTCTGCCGTGCGCACTGCCAGGCGTCACCACTGTCCCCCCA